TGGTTTCATCCAGCAGCCTTCACAATCCAAGTTGTATTAGCAGCTGTCATTCGTTCATCAACAATCAAAAACCTCAGATAGCACAATAACATACAGAATCCAGACTCTGTGTATTTCCCATCTTTATGTAGCTCATTACATATTTTTTACTTTATTCCTTTTTTAAGGACTTCATTATTTTTAAACTACTTTTTAATCTATGACTGTATGTATCCTTTTTCTTTTCTCTCCTAAGCCTATGTACATTTTTAAACACACTATAACCCATTTAGAGGATTTTTTCCATGTGGATCTGCCTTTACTGAGCATCTGTGTTGTTTTTGATCACAGGAGATGAATCTTAAATTGTTATGTCAGCTGCCGGCACTGCCCAGCTGAGTGAGTAGCGCTAGTGTATGGTGGTTGGCGGCTGGCTCCATCCACAGGCACGGGAGACATGAGACTAGGAAGCTGTGTTTTGCTCTGTTTCTGTGTGTTTAGAACCTTTTTTAACGCTTTCTCAGTTTTTTTTTTTTTTTTTTTTTAAAGATCTATTTATTTATTATGTATACAGTGTTCTGTCTCCACATATCCCTGCAAGCCAGAAGAGGGCATCAGATCTCATTACAGATGGTTGTGAGCCACCATGTGGTTGCTGGGAATTGAACTCAGGACCCTTGGAAGAACAAGCAGTGCTCTTAACCTCTGAGCCATCTCTCCAGCCCTTTCTCAGTTCTTATATGGTTGTAGGTGCCCCATGTTGGAACGCCATTTGTAGGCAGAGTTTTTCATCGGGACTGCCAGCTAACCACTGCCAAATAACCACTCAGAGACTTATTATTATAAATGCTTGGTCAATAGCTTAGACTTGTTACTAACTAGCTCCTACAACTTAAATTAAGCCGTATTTCTTATCTACCCTCAGCCACGTGGCTTGGTCCCTTTTCTCAGTACAGCAGGTTTATCTTGCTTTTCTTCATGTCTCCTCACGACTCCGGAGACTGCTCTCCTCTTCCCAGCATCCTTAGTCTTGTTCTCCTGCCTAACCTTATGCTGCCTAGCTATAGGCCAGTCAGCTTCTTTATTAAACCAATCACAGTGACATATGTTCACACAGTAACGGAATTTTCCACACCTTGCACCACTGTGAGTCCTGGGGATTGAATTCAGGCTGTCAGGCTTGGCAGCAAGTGCCTTTACCCACCATCTGTGGGGATGTGCACTCAAGTCTCCATGCTTGCATAACAAGACTCTTACCCACTGAGCCGTCTCCCCAGCTTCCAAGTCGTAATCGTTACGTCTCCCTAACCAGCTGCTGAACCATTTGTTAGTTACAAAGTGTCTTGGGTGTTGGTCTTGAATCTTTACCCACATTAATTCTTTGCTTGTGTTTTTAAAATACCATCTTTCTTATCTGTGAAGATTTATAAAAGCTAATTTGCACTTAATTTTTCTCCCTAATTGTATAGACTTTACGTAAGTTTCCATGGAATTTCCTGGAAAATTCTATCTGTAGTCTAAAGACTATAGAATTTGGAACCCAGTTCAGCCATTGTAAATGCCTCACACACACACACACACCCCACTCCAGTGTTGGCTATGGTCAAATAGAAATGTCACTTGAATACAGAACTGTGGTGGCATAAAAATGTTTGGTCTCGGGGCTGGAGAGATGGCTCAGTAGTTAAGAGCATTAGCTGTTCTTCCAGAGGTCCTGAGTTCAATTCCCAGCACCCATATGGTGGTTCACAGCCATCTATAATGAGATCTGGCATACATGCAGACGAAATACTGTATACATAATAAATAATTAAATGTTAACAAAAATGTTTGGTCTTTTGTAGCTTAGGCTGGCTTGAACTGGTTAACTAGCCAAGGATGACCTTGAACTCCTGTCGCCGCCCCACCCGCTTCCACATCCTAAGTGGTGGCATCAGAGGAGTGCACCCCTGTACCCCATGTCAGAACTGCATGCTTTGAGTGTGGCTTTCTTTACTTCAGTTGACAGCATCCTTGTCTTCCTCTTGCCACCCAACCCAAGAGGCACCCTGACATGCCAGAAAGTTTGGTCTGCTGTCAAACCCCATGAATACACCACATCAGTCTGAGGACCTTGGTTTTGGGGAATCGGCAGGCTCCGTGGAGAATCAGGATGACAGGCTGTGGTGAAGGCAGATCTCTGAGTGAAAGGTCTTAAAAGGAATTCATGTGTCAAGTTTCTTAGTCTGCAGTGCCGTGCCTCTGCAGATGTGTGCCGTGCTTGTGCAGATGTGTGCTGTGTCTATGCAGATGTGTGCCGTGCCTGTGCAGATGTGTGCCGTGTCTCTGCAGATATGTGCTGTGCCTGTGCAGATGTGTGCCATGCCTGTGCAGATGTGTGCCGTGTCTCTGCAGATATGTGCTGTGCCTGTGCAGATGTGTGCTGTGCCTGTGCAGATGTGTGCCGTGTCTCTGCAGATGTGTGCTGTGCCTTGGCTGGCGTGTGTTGCTGGCATGTGTCAGTCGTGATGTTAGCATCTAAAACCAGTGAGGATTTCATATCTTACTGTGTTTCACACTGTGACTAAAATGTTTGTGTGAGACGTGTTTGCAAAAGACGTTTATGTGAAGCAGGAAGGAAATTAGAGTTTTCAGAAGCCTAAGGCATTAAAACTAGATGTTTTAGACTTCTTTTTTTTTAACACTGCCAGTGTTATATGAGTTTATTAAAAAGTTACATAATATGATATTACACAATATAATATAAACCCTCTGTTTGCCATAGGCCTCTGCCATAGCCTTCTGGAGGGTTTTAAAAATGATTCTTTGAAATTATGTATTATGTATGTATGTATGTCTGAGTGCCTACATGTGTTTCCCTGTGCATGCACATGCATGTGTGTCTGAGTGTGTGCATGCAAGTGTGCTGCTGCATGCCGTATGTGTGTGCTGCTTCAGGAGTCCAGAAGATGGGCATCAAATCCTGGAGCTAGAGTTACAGGTGGTTGTGAGCTGCCCAGCATGGGTGCTGGGAACAAAAGTCAGGTCCCCTGGAAGAACAGTCAGTGCTCTTAAGCACGTCACCATCTCTCCAGCCCTGACTTCTGGACAATTGGATAAAACCAACCAGAACATGTTGCTTATACTGTGCTCAACTCGAGTTACAAATTTTCATTCAAATTTCTCGAACATATCCAGGTCTTAGCTGACCGGAGACTCTAGCATGAACTTCACCTTTTCTTTTTATTGAAAACTTTCTTGGCCTCATTTTTCATGAATTGGTTTATTCACCTTTCAAGTGTCAGATAAGGAAGTCCCCTCAGAGGATCCTTCTTCGACATTGTGCTAATGAAGGTCATCCTTACTGTGTCTCCCCGAGCCGATTGCCTTCTCTCCCACACCACCCCACACCATTAGATTAGTGCACACACACCATCCCACACCATTAGTGAAGTGCACACACACCATCCCACTCCATTAGTTAAGTGCACACACCCCACCCCACACCATTAGTTAAATGCATACACACCATCCCACACCATTAGTGAAGTGCACACACACCATCCCACACCATTGGTTAAGTAAACCCACACCATCCCACATTATTAGTTAAGTGCACCCATACCATTAGTTAAGTGCACACACACACACATTCCCACACCATTAGTTAAGTGCACACACACCATCCCACACCACTAGTTAAGTGCACACACACCATCCCACACCACTAGTTAAGTGCACACACAC